CTGCACTGCTCCTCCTCCGATCCATCCCAAAGCCATGCCCTTTTCTCTGGAATATGATGATCCGGTCGTCCGCTACTCACGCCCAGTTCCACCTCTCGCTTCTCCTGTACTCCAATCTTCTCTCTTCCCCCCTCTCTCCTGACAACTTCACCTTCCCTTTTGCTCTCAAGTCCTGCGCAGGCCTGAACAATCTCGAGCAGGGAAGACAGCTCCACCAACACTCCATTTGCTTTGGATGTCATGAAGATCCATTTGTGGACGCTGCTCTGGTGGATATGTATAGCAAATGCGGCGATGTAAACACCGCACGCCAAGTGTTCGACAGAATGCCGAAGAGAGACCTTGTTTCCTACACCTCCATGATCTCTGGCTATGCTCACAACGGACACAGCATTGAGGCTTTGGATTTCTTTAAATACATGAAGAACTCAAACGTGAATGCCAATCGAGTCGGATTGTTGAGTGTTTTTCTTGCTTGCGGACGACTTGGGGCTCTCAGAAAGGGGGAATGCTTCCATAGCTATGCGCTTCAGACTGGTTTTCTGGAAGACATTTTAGTGCTAACTTCAGTTCTAGACATGTATGCTAAATGTGGGAGTTTAGATACAGCAAGGTTGATTTTTTACACTGCAGAAGGTAAAGATATGGTGTGCTGGAGCGCCATGATTGCTAATTATGGATACCATGGTCTTGGAAAAGAGGCAATCAATACATTCAATCAAATGGTGGAAGTCGGTTTGAAACCCAATCATGCCACTTTCACCAGCCTTCTTTCTGCTTGTAGCCATTCAGGTTTGTTAGAAGAAGGCAAGAGCTGCTTCACTTCTATGAGCATGAAATATGGGATTTCACCTAAGCTGAACCACTATGCATGCATGGTTGACATCTTCGGCCGAGCCGGGAAGTTGCAGGAAGCTCAAGAGCTTATAGAGCAAATGCCAATGGAGCCTGATTCTAGCTTGTGGGGTTCTTTACTTGGTGCGTGCAGGATTCATGGAGACTTGGAGCTGGGAGAGAAAGTTGCAGATAGAATAATGGAGCTGGATCCAGAGAATCCTGGCTACTATGTTCTTTTATCAAATATTTATGCTGCTAGAGCCAGATGGACTGACGTTGAGAGACTGAGGAAGAAGATGTCAGGAAGAATGGTGATTAAGGATCAGGGAATTAGTTTGATTGAGTTCAACAACCAAATACACAAATTTGGAATAGGAGAGAGGTCGCATAGCCAGTCAAGAGAGATATACTCATATTTAGAGAAATTATCTATGTTGATGAGGCAATTGGGCTATGTTCCGTTGGGGGAATTCTCACTTCATGATGTAGAAGATGAGAACAAGGAAATGGCTCTGTTTTATCACAGCGAAAGGCTCGCTATTGCGTTTGGTTTGATGAACATGAATTCTGGAACTACTATTCGGATTGTGAAGAATCTAAGAGTTTGTAGAGATTGTCATAATGCTATAAAGATTATTTCAAAAATAGTGAACCGTTTGATTATTGTCAGGGATATGAATCGTTTTCATCACTTTGTGAATGGTCTGTGTTCTTGTGGTGATTATTGGTAAGAGAATTAAGCTTTTTATTTTTATTGGAGTACTGTAATGAACTCTCTCCCCTCTCTTTTGTAATTGTTAAACCGCACATGCTCCAGATATTGGTAAACCACTCTGTTTACTGAAGAATTGGTTAGAAATAAAATAAAAATTTTCAAAATGCCGAATTCGAGCCATCATCCTGTAAACAAATAAATAAATAAATAAATAATTCAGATGCCGTATTTTACATTCTATATTTTATACTGCTAAGTAGAAATAAATAAGTTGAATTCAATTAATTAATAAAAAAGATAAATTAACAGCACATTTTTATTTGATATTGAATAGTGGCCAGTTTAAAAAAATCTAAATATATATAATATTGAAGTTTTAAACTTGTGTGCTCTTAAATTTGTGGCAGTAGAGTGATATACGAACGTCTTAGTATTGTAGTTGCAGAATTTAATGGATCCTTAAATAGTCAAAAACAACATTAGACAAGTGGGATTCAAATTTTGCTAGAGAAATGGCAGAGGCAGAGAAATTTTGATAGTAGGGATGGTGTATCAGAAAATATGCTCCCAGTATCTTTGGTAGCGACGGCCAAACGGCGATGGTCGGGAAGTGACAATGGTGTTCGTGGTCCGACAATTGCGACGGCTGGGCAATGATGGTGATGGTCTGTCGGCGATGGTCTTGCAGTAGTGAAGCTTAGAAATCCTCAAGTGCTTGGAGCTCCTTTAGCTTTCTCCTCCATGTCCAGGTCCCAAGTCCTTCTTCATGAAGAGAGTAAAGGTTTATTTATAGATTTTGTGAGTGATATTCTCTGTAAATATGACATGAATTCGGACAACTCCATTGGATGGCCCAGAGCAATCTCTTTAATGGATAATATTCTATGAGCATTTGAGTGCCTTACTGAGCAATCTTAAGCTCGTTGGACTCGGCTCGTTGAAACGTTCAATTTAAATATAAGCTTGTTGGATTTAGAATCTATTTGACCATTCAATCGCTCATCCAATGCCTTCACTTATAATTAACTTGTTTGATTTGGGTTTGATTGGGCTCAAATGAAATCAATTTTGGCTTCATGGGGCTTTCTTTGTTGACAC